GGTGGTTGCCGTCGTCGAAGTCGTAGTCGTGATTACCACGCCGCCGTTCTCGCAGGCGGCAATAGTGGCGGCGGCGGCGGCGGCGGCGGTGGTGGTGGTGGTGGTGGTGGTGGTGTTGGTGGTGGTGTTGGTGGTGGTGGTGGTGGTGGTGGTGGTGGTGGTGGTGGTGGTCTTTGTGGTTTTGGTTCTGGTTGTGATTGCAGTCTTGGCTGTTGTGGTTGCAGTTGTGCTTGTTGCAGGCAGGAGCAGGAGTGACAGCAGCACGTAGTCGAGATTGTACTGTTGCGTTTCCTGCTGCCGGGCTATGCCGCTCTGCGCGGATTCAATCAGGACTTGTCTTATCATTGCTTCACTATTCGATCATTGCCATAGACCTTGTGTCCCCTGTCTGTCATCTTTGTGAACACGTATAATGCTACCCGTCGCCGAAACAATTGTCGCAAGAAGTGAAACCATTGAACCCCCCAAACAATTAAACAATGTGTGTACCCGATGTATATAGAAGGGGACTTGCGGACGGAGATTTCCAAAAATAGTTAAGGTTGATCAGCATCATCAACAGCAGCACCACGGATTCTTCACAAGATCATGCTCAGCGACTGCCAAACTGCCCACTATGCATCGTAAGATCATTGACGACAACAGCAGCAACAACCACAACAGCAGTAGCAACAACAACAACAACATAATCAACAGCACCAACGGCTACAGGAGCAGCAGCAGCAGCAGCAGCAGCAGCAGCAGCAGCAGCAGCAGCAGCAGCAGCAGCAGCAGCAATAACAACAACAAACGACAACGACAACGACTGCATCATTTGCATCATCACCTTCATCAACATCATCATCATCATCATCATCGTCATCACCATCATCATCATCGTCGTCATCACCATCGCTATCTTTAACATACTCGTCAGCGGATTGGAAGCACAGTGGGCTGTGTGAACTCCACGGCTCTGATGGGCTCTGGGTCTTTGATGCGAGGAGTTCTACTGCTGGGTTGGAGCTGTCGATACCCCAACCCCCCGCACCCCCTACCAAATGAAGTTCGGAATTTAGTGGCCTGAATCAAAAGCAAAGTGTTTGGGGGTGTATTTGTAAGAGGAATTTAAGAGCCTCCGGCTCAAGCCGCCGACCCCGCAGGAGTGAGAGGAAAGGACGTGAGGGTTTCGAACAGCAGCCGTCAGGGGCGCGGGGCAGCTTTTGCAAAGATCTCACCAGACCGTGTCCAGTCGTGGTGGTAGGGGGAGGGGGAAGGAGGAGGGGAGGGGGGACGGGAAAGAGGAGGCCTCCCAACATGGAGGTGGTCGGCAAAAGAGGGGGGAAGGAGAAGGGGAGGGGAGAGGGGGACGGGAGGTGGGAGGAGGATAAATCTGACGGCGAAGGGGGCGGAGGGGGGCGCCCCGGCAGCCTGATGCGCGGGATTTTGGTGTGGGA